AGCAATACCTTGAAGTAAATTTAAAAACCCCAAACTGAGACTTGACAGCCTGTTCTAGCTGACCTCATCCACGTATTTATAAAATGTGGAATCCACCAATAACCAATAGAAGTAGAATGCTGTTAATCAAACCCTAATTATTGTGATTAAAATAGGCTCGGATTTAAAGTATGCATTTACTTGTATTGCATTCTCTCAGCATTAAAAAAATAATGGGATGCTGAATACTTCAGAGATGCAGAGCCATTTCTGGAATGCACTTTTTAAAAAATAAAATAAGACCCTGGTTATAAATAATCCCTGTTAAGCCTATTGTATGTTTTGGTCATCTCTTCTTTAGTGGACAGTGAACGGTCAGCTGCGAGTCGGCTTTTTCACCACCAAGGTAGTTCCTTCAGGTTCAGAGCTGACTTTTGACTACCAGTTCCAGCGATATGGGTACGTGTTCCTTTATTTACAGTAGAGTCTTACCTATCTGTCCTGAGTTGCCCTTCAAAAACAGCCTTTAGACAATGTTGCAAGTAAAGGAAAAATGCTTTACTTCAGGAAACACAAAGGATAAGCAAATGCAATTGAAAAGTGCAAAAGAAAACAAGGAAGTCTTACTCCAGACACAAATTAAAGTCTCTTACAAAGTCCCGAAAGAAACACCAGTCTTCCATCAAACAGCAGGCAATGAAATAAGTCCTTAGCAGCAGACACAAAGCAGATTGCATTGGAATGAAAACATCACTATAAGGGTCATTGTTACCAGCCTCTGACTGCTCCTGCCTCTGATTTATAGCCCTGAATTTCCCACGCAGGAAGTGCTAGGGCATCTCCCAATTAGCTCAGCGTTTTTAGCAGCTATTCTGGTTGAATGCCGCCTGTGCTCTGTCTCTTTTCATCTCTCTAGAAATGTGGGCACTTTCAAACCCTCATCATCTGGTTCTTTTTCTCCCTCCAATTCCTGAGCACTTCCCTGCTCCCCTTCCTCCTCCAAAGACGAGGAATCCTTAAAATTATCCGACATAAACAGTCTGGCAGAACATTGGATAAACAAAGAAAACATCACTATAAGGGTCACTGATACCAGCGAAAGCTGACTGCTCCTGCCTCTGATTTATAGCCCTGAATTTCCCACGCAGGAGGTGCTAGGGTGTCTCCCAATTAGCTCAGCGTTTTTAGCAGCTATTCTGGCTGAATGCTGTCTGTGCTCTGTCTCTTTTCGTCTCTCTAGAAATGTGGGCACTTTCAAACCCTCATTGTCTGGTTCTTTTTCTCATTCCAATTCCTGAGAACTTCCCTGCTCCCCTTCCTCCTCCGAAGACGAGGAATCCCTAACATTATCCGACATAAACAGTCTGGCGGAATATTGGATAACAAAGAAAACATTACTATAAGGGTCACTGTTACCAGCGAAAGCTGACTGCTCCTGCCTCTGATTTATAGCCCTGAATTCCCCATGCAGGAAGTGCTAGGGCATCTCCTAATTAGCTCAGCGTTTATAGCAGCTATTCTGCCACCTGTGCTTTGTCTCTTTTCTTCTCTCTAGAAATGTAGGCACTTTCAAACCCTCATCGTCTGGTTCTTTTTCTCACTCCAATTCCTGAGAACTTCCCTGCTCCCCTTCCTCCTCCAAAGACGAGGAATCCCTAACATTATCCGACATAAACAGTCTGGCAGAACTTTGGATAAACAAGAATGTTGGATAATAGGGGGCCTCCTAATGTTACCCATCCAACGCAGCGCTAGGCACCTAGAATACTAACAACAGGGACTGAATTGTGGGAGTTGAAGTCCAAAACATCTGGAGGAAGGGCCCAAGTTTGCCCGTTCCAAACAGAAGACTGGGATGCTCAGTAGGGTTTAATTATTTATCGTGTCAGGAGCAAACCAAACAGTTGTATTGCATTTTTAACAAACAAACAAACAAACAAAACCTAAAGTTTGCAGTCTTGGTAGTTGATTAAATGTCTTTTGACCAGTATCTGGCCACTTGGAGTGCCTCTGGTGCTGTGCATGTGGCGGGGCTCAGGTTGCATTGCAGCACTCGCATGTCGTGGATTCCATTTTGTGGCCCCATTTCTTGAGGTTGGCTCTGCATCTCGTGGTGCCAGAGCGCAGCCTGTTCAGCGCCTTCCAAGTCGCCCAGTTTTCTGTGTGCCAAGGGGGGAGTCTCTCATTTGGTATCAGCCATTGATTGGGGTTTTGGGTTTGAGCCTGCCACTTTTGGACTCTCGCTTGCTGAGGTGTTCCAGCGAGTGTCTCTGTAGATCTTAGAAAACTATTTCTGTATTTAAGTCGTTGATTTGCTGGCTGATATCCAAACAGGGGATGAGCCGGAGATGTCTCTGCCTTGGTCCTTTCACTATTGGCTGCTACTTCCCGGCGGATGTCAGGTGGTGCAATTCTGGCTAAACAGTGTAATTTCTCCAGTGGTGTAGGGCGTAGACACCCCGTGATAATGCTGCATGTCTCAGTAAGGTGAAATCTTGTCAAAACAATGTGCTTGAAATGCCTGTGTTTCCATCAGCAAAGAGGCGCAGAAGTGCTTCTGTGGTTCCACGAACTGTCGGGGATACCTCGGGGGCGAGAACCGGGTCAGCATCAGAGCAGCCGGCGGCAAAATGAAGAAAGAGCGGTCGCGAAAGAAGGATTCGGTAAGGCTTTTCTTTCCCAGTTGGGTTTGAGATTGTGAGGAATTTGGAAATAGGAAGCAATGGGTTGAAATGACAAGGAAGGAGATTCCACCTGAACATGAGGAAGAACTTCCTGACTGTAAGAAGAGCTGTTCAGCAGTGGAACTCTCTGCCTCGGAGTCCAGTGGAAGCTCCTTCCATGGAGGCTTTGAAAAAGAGGCTAGATGTATTGTTGAAGGCTTTCATGGCCGGAATCACTGGGTTGTTGTGGGATTTTTGAGGCTATATGGCCATGTTCTAGAGGCATTCTCTCCTGACGTTTCACCTGCATCTATGGCAAGCATCCTATCAATTGGGAGTGTTAGTTCCTGGAATTTATAGTTAACCTACAATCAAAGCGCATTCTGACCTCCACCAATGAGGGAATTGAGCCAAACCTGGCACCTTGAACCCCCATGACCAAGAGAAAATACTGGGTTTGCTGAGTATTGACCTTGAATTTTGGAGTTGTAGTTAACCTACATCCAGAGAGCACTGTGGCCTCAAGCAATGATGGATCTGGACCAAACTTGGCACGGATACTCAGTGTGCCCAAATGTGAGCACTGGTGGAGTTTGGGGGGGGGGGGGGGAATAGACCTTGACATCTGGGAGTTATAGTAGCTGGGATTTATAGTTCACTTACAATCAAAGAGTATTCTGACCTCCACCAATGAGGGAATTGAACTAAACCTGGCTCACAGAACCCCCATGACCAAGAGAAAATACTGGAAGGGTTTGCTGAGCATTGACCTTGAATTTTGGAGTTGTAGTTTACCTACATCCAGAGAGCACTGTGGACTCAAACAATGATGGATCTGGACCAAACTTGGCACGAATTTTCAATATGCCCAAATGTAAACACTGGTGGAGTTTGGGGAAAATAGACCTTGACATTTGGGAGTTGTAGCTGCTGGGATTTATAGTTCACCTGCAATCAAAGACCATTCTGAATCCTACCAACAATCGAATTGGGCCAAACTTCCCACACAGAACCTCCATGACCAACAAAAAATACTATGTTTTATGGTGGTCATTGGTGACCCCTTTGACACCCCCTCGCGACCCCTCCAGGGGTCCCGACCCTCAGGTTGAGAAACCCTGATCTAAGCCAACATCCCACCCACTTTGGGTGCGTAACATTCCTCTCAGATCAAAGGAATGCATTAAGTTGGCAGATTAGCATTTAACTGTCATTCTGAGGGATTGGACAACGATCTCATTACTGTTGTGTGACTATGGCTCCTGATATTCGTTATATTAATCTTTGGGTTGCTTGCATTTAAATAATTTGGTGATCTTAGCATGCCAGCAATCCATTGTGTGATCTAGTCCATGGCCCTGCTGCTTTAAAAAGTCTTTGGGCCTAAAGCTATGGCTACCTTGTTCACATTTGCTATTGTTGTTGTTGTTTTTTTGACAGGTGGATGGAGAATTGGAGGCGCTCCTGGAGAACGGAGAAGGGCTTTCAGACAAGAACCAAGTTCTCAGTTTGTCCCGGCTGATGGTACGCATTGAGACGCTGGAGCAAAAACTGACCTGCCTCAAACTCATACAGGTGAGGTGACCCCCAGTTTCTCTTTTGAACTGTTCAAAGGTCAAGTTCAAATGTTTGCACCGGGACTGTGGCTCAGCTGTCTTGAGTGTCAGCTGCATTAAGATCACTTCTGACCACAAGGTCATGAGTTCGAAGCCAGCCCAGGTCGGAGTGAGCTTCTGACCAATTGTGTAGCTTGTTGTCGACCTTTGCAACACGAAAGACAGTTGCATCTGTCAAGTAGGAAAATTAGGTACTACCTATGTGTGGGGGGGCTATTTTAAATAATTGACGAGGCCATAAAAAAGACTCCAGCAAAAAGCATGCGGGGAATGCGGAAGTACTTCATCAGTGTCGCAGATGGACAATGGAAGCGACAGCTCCCCTGGCGGCTAGAAAAGTTAAATAGCCTCTGACTGTCTCTCTATATCTGTTCTGTGTCTTTGGCATTGAATGTTTGCCATGTATGTGTACATTGTAATCCGCCCTGAGTCCCTTGCGGGGTGAGAAGGGCAGAATATAAATACTGTAAATAAATAAGTAAATAAATCGGTATGGAGACCGAAAGATGGCAGGAGATTTAAGGGGCTGACAACCAGCTTTGTAAAAGCCACAAAAGTAGGACTAAGGGGGTATCTGCACTGTGGAATGACACACTTTGACACCACTTTAACTTCCACGATGCAGTGCATTAGGATCCTGGAATCTGTAGTTTAGCGAGGCCCTAACACTCTTTGGCAGAAGAAGCAAAAAGACCACATCAAAGCACATCTCCCAGGATTCTATAGCATTGAGCTATGTGTGATACCAAACTGTATTCAGTCTGCTTTGTGCAGTCTCCTCTCTTGTTAGAAACTAAAAGTGAAGCCACTATGCTTTTACATCAGGGTTATTTTTAGGTGTGAGGAGTTCCAATATAGGATCTTTCTCAATAGAAGCAGTATGTTGTAGATCAGTCAAGGGCTGAGGGTTTAACTGATGATTAGAGAGGATTGTGAGCCTTCCTGTGGCACGAATTGATCGGCCCTCAAGTCTGGGAAATTCAGGTAAATTGTTGCACCTCACAGTAGATTCACCTTGCTGAAGACACCAAACTTCACACAGCCAGAAGGTTAAAAGTTCTTAAAGGCAAAGGTTAATATTCCAAAAGATCAATATCATATGGCACTTGAAGCTTAATCCTAAAAAGGCACCAGCAAAGCAAAAATCCAAGAGAACATGACAAAGTCCTGAAATCATGAATACAAGAACTGCAAGATAAATCCAGACAAGCAAAGGCACACTTCTTAGTTGAACACAAAGTTGCTTTGACAAAGTTTTGGTCTCAAACACATAGCTTAATACCCTTTACAAAACATGAAGGCATTTCTTTGGCCTCTGGCCTCCCTCTTGTTAGCTATCCTCTCACTCCTTCGAACTCGGAATTCCAAATGGTGAGCCCAATCTAAGGTTCCCATTTTGTCAAGGTCAGCCTGTTCGTTAGTGTCAGCCTGTTTCCCTGCTTGCTCATTATCAGGCTGAGAACTGTCCTCCTTCTCTGAGTCAATCTGCACCTGCACCTGGCAATTCTCAGTATCAACACTCTCATTCCTTGCTGTGGGAAACTGCACTTCTTCATTGTCTATAACAGGAACATTTTGAACCAAACTATGAACCTGAGTCCCATAATCCTCATCAGAGACACTCAGTGATTCCAGCTGAATCACAACATAAACGATGGTTTTCTTTGTGATTAAACTGGCTTGGAAAGTGCAGGGCCTCAAGGCCAGTTAGAGGAGCCAGAAGCAGCAACAACAGATAAGGAATCGAATGAAGAGCTGAGTGATAAGGAGGGTTCCCAGGGGAAACCACCTGTATTTACAGAGATCAACAAATCTGGGCCGAAAATAAGTTAAATCGTTCAGAGATTACGTGGGAAAGTTATGGAGAAAATCATGGAAGATGTAATGCTTTCATGGGTGTCTATTAAACAACAAGTTGTTTACTTTAAGGGCAGTTCAGGCAATACTGTGTTAGAGTGAGAAGCTAAGCCTGAGTTCTCTCATTCCTGGTTCAAGTCAAGCCTTGGTTTTGGATTAGTATTTTCTGTGTTCCTGTTCATGTGGTCCTGTTCAAGTGCTTGTGGACTTATGCTATATCTGTGATTCCTGGCTATTCCTGGACTTTGTCACTTCTAGAACTTTATAGGACAGTAGCCATCCTCTGCCACGCGTTGCTGTGGCCCAGTCTGTGTATATATGTTTTGTGTGTGTATATATATGTGTGTATATTTGTGGTTTTGTGCATGCGTTGTAATGTATTTATTTATTATTATTTTGCTTTTAAAGTCCCTCCCACTGTGTTTTTTATGAGTGATGATCGCTCGTTGGCCTGATAGGTGTATTGTGTCCAAATTTGGTGTCAATTGGTTCAGTGGTTTTGGAGTTTATAGTTTACATTGTGCTCAGGGAAACAGTCTCGTGGCTTCTTGTTCATCCTATATACATATATACACTCTCTCTTTTTGAAGAATACTCACTCTCAAGCCTGTCTGAAGACCTTCTTGGAAAGCCATGGTTTGTCGCTCCTCTGGATTTGGATGACGGAACTTGGGGACGGACGGGGGAACACAGCCAACAACCTGAAGCTCAAGCTGGAGGTCAGTAGTTGCCTTTTGGGCCTCTCCTGTGTGCAAATGTCCAAACTGCCTTGAGTCGCCAGTAAGCTGAGAAAGGCGGTATACAACTATAATAAATAAATAAACAAGCAAATAAATAAAATTTACAGCCTCAATGGTAAGCCATTGAGAGCTTTAAATGTTGTCCCCAGACGAGTACCATATTTTGATTTTGCAAGTTGTTTACGATCATCTGGGTATCACTACAACATACAGTAAGATCCCATATCTGCTGGCGATATGTTACCGGCCACACCACAGTTAACTGAAACCACATATATGACCAAAAAACTATTAAATTAGTTGACTGTGAGATCATTGTATTGGAGAACCAAGAGATTCTTTGAGAGTAATCGTCCCTAGGAATTGGTTCAGTCTTCCAGTGCAAATCCTTGATTGCAAATTGTATAAGGTGTGATGCTTCCTGATGAGATTTTAGTTTAGGCTTGTTAGGAATTGTGAGAGTTGGAGTCCAAAACACCTGGAGGGAAGGCCAAAGTTTGCCCATACCTGTTTTAGGCAATGACAAGCAACGATCGAAAGGTAACAGGTGCCATTTTGATGTTTTGCGGCCAGATTATAAAAACCCTGGAGCTCTTACCGATCCCCAACAAGAACATGCTGGAAGAGAGTAAAGTGCTCCCGATCATCCAGCGCTGGGCCCAGACCAAGTCGGCCATCCCGCACCTCAGCGAAGGGGACGGCTACTCCAGCGAGAACACCTCTCGGGCCCACACGCCGCTCAACACCCCGGACCCTTCCGCCAAGCCCAGCACCGAGGTGGAGTCGGACACGCCCAAGAAGCTGGCCTTCCGGAGGCTCAAGATCATCAGCGAGAACAGCATGGACAGCGCCGCCTCGGATACGATCAGCGAGGTCGAGCTGAAGGACGGGAAGGAGGAGCCTACGGAGCACTTGGAGAGCGCCCCGACAGAGACGGTGGAGGAGGAGCAACCCACGCAGGCAGAGGATGCGGCCAAGGATGAGGCCCCAGCGGACCCCAACCAACCTCAGGCAGCGGAGCAGGAGCCCGAGTTGGAGATCGAAACCAAGGAGGTCATCATCTCCAAGATGGAGGAACCCGCGGCCGCGGAAACGCCTTCCCAAGACGAAGAGGAGGGCTTGTCGGACGTGGAGAGCGAGAGGAGTCAGGAGCAGACGGACAAGATCGTGGACGTGAGCGATTTGGCCACCCGGCTCCTGGACTGCTGGAAAGACCTAAAAGTAAGTGGGGGTCCCCCTCTGTAGCCGTTCCTCAAAAAATGGGGTTTGCTTCTCTGTGCCAAGCGTAATGGGTATATCCCTTCCAAAGAATGGAGATCCTTGCTTCTCTTGCCACATGATTTTGGATGATTAGAAAAACAGACAATATGGGAAAAGAGGGGAGATGCTGATGTAGATGAAAACCATGCTATCTTTTCACCAAGCTACATTTTGCCTAGTTAGGGAAAGGTCGGGTGTGTTGCCTGTGCTGCAAATGTATTGGAAAGAAACATTACATATAGATTTATAGATTTACATATAGATTTAGCCAAAAGCTTTAAGTGTTGTGTTTTCCCTTTCAATACAAAGCATTTTCATATTACTGTATTTGCCATCGCTTCTGCTGTTGCTCTATATGGGACTAAAAAAATATGTTCCTTTTAGCCCCCAGTGGTGCAGTGGGTTAAACTGCGGCAAACATTCAAGCGCGACCAAAAAAATAAAAATAAACCATAAATCAAAGAACAACATAGTAGACTTCAATAATATAATAATAAATATAACCTCACAAAATTATTTATTTGTGAGGGGGGCATAATGACGCAGTGCGTTAAACCGCTTTTTTTTTTTGGTCGTGTCAGGAGCGACTTGAGAAACTGCAAGTCGCTTCTGGTGTGAGAGAATTGGCCGTCTGCAAGGACGTTGCCCAGGGGACGCCCGGATGAATGGATGTTTTTATCATCCTTGTGGGAGGCTTCTCTCATGTCCCCGTGTGAGGAGGAGCTGGAGCTGATAGAGGGAGCTCATCCGTCTCTCCCCGCATTCGAACCTGCAACCTGTCGGTTTTCAGTCCTGCCGGCACAGGGGTTTAACCCATTGTGCCAAGGGGACTCTGTTAAACCGCTGAGCTGCTGAACTTGCTGACCGAAAGGTCGCCGGTTCGAACCCACAAATCAAATAACAACATTCGACATCATTAAATAATAATAAATAAAACCTCTCAAAATTACTTATTTGTGAGGAGGGCATGATGACGCTTTGGGTTAAACCGCTGAGCTGCTGAACTTGCTGACCGAAAGGTCGCCGGTTCGAATCTAGGGAGCGGGGTGAGCTCCCACTGTTAACCCCAGTTTCTGCCAGCCTAGCAGTTTGAAAACATGTAAATGTGAGTAGATGAATAGGTACTGCTCCTGTGGGAAGGTAACGATACTCCATGTAGTCATGCTGGCTGCATGACCTTGGAGGTGTCTATGGAGAATGCCAGCTCTTTGGCTTAGAAATGGAGATGAGCACCACCACCACCACCCAGAATTGGGCACGACTGGACTTAATGTCAGGGGAAAATCTTGATCTTTTCCTAGGTATTTTAAGTTCCTTCACCATAAATCTCTGCTCCATTTCTGCTGGAATTGTAGGGAGGACCTAGAGATATCTGGAGAGAAGATTTTTCTAGACATTTCTGGGTGCCTAGCGAAATGTTCACTCAGTTAAAATCTAGGAATCGATGGGTTTTTCTGATGGAATTGAAAGGCCAGACTACTTTATGGTAGGAATGTTCACTCCATTTGAGTTGAAATTAAAACCCCTCCTGTTTTGAAAAACGTAGGCTGCTGCAAGGAGTAATGCTGTACTCTAAAAGAGACTAGAAAAGTCTTACTGAGTGTGAAGGTTTGCTGCTTCAATGGGGTGGTGATACTTAGCAGGTTCCTCTGCTAAATCAGGAGGTTTCTTGCAAAGCAGGAGAAAAGGTTTCAGAGATAAGAGCTGTGGTTCTGAGAACAATTTAACCAGCGGTTTCAGGTTAAATACACTCTAGAAGTGTACTGAGTGACTGAAGAGAGAGTCCATAAATTAATACGTCACACCTCTTTGTGTTTTTATGAAAGTAAGGCTGTGAACCTTGCTATTTTTGTGCCTAAAATATATTTGGTTCATACCACCCTTGGACTTGGTCATGTAAGGCTTGCTTGCAAGGGTGTTTTTTTACCCATGACAAGAGGAGAGCTTGCCTTGGGTTTCATGTCATGAATGACTTTTCAATGACGTTAAACCATAGGTTCTTTTTATTGCAGTTTCCAGTGTGAGAGGGTATATCAGATTTCTATATCAGAAAAAAACATTAAGACATACAGATTCTATGCAACCACATTGCATTTACAGTTACATGGATAACAAACAAACAAACAAAGGGGAATTACATTTTCACTCAGCATTCACACCACGTGTACACGCATTCATCCTCATGCACCCAAATATTACCATATCATTTTCTCCCTCCTTGGAGAAGCACCTCTTAGGCCAGATCCTGCTTTCCTGCAGCCCGCCAATGCATAATTCCAACACTTCCATAATGCCATAACTTCAAAATGCATCCTTTCCCTAAGCACAATGCCAAGGACCAGATCTCTGTTTTCCATACAGCAGAACCTGACTCCCTGCACAAAATCCAAGACGTCAGAAGCGCACTTCTTCGTCTTCCCTTGAGAAAGTAGCCCCAAAGTGACCAGAATCATGCTTTCCCATAGCATATCTGCCACTCTCCATAGGTACACTATCTCTCTCCTTCCCATGGAGCAGAGCATAGCGGGTGAACAGCGTCTCTGTCTGTCACAATTTGATCATTGTTAGACTGAGTCTTTTATAGGAATATTCTGTTGATGTCATCCCAAAGTTGTAAATTAACGATAGATGTCTTTCATCCTGGCTCCATCTCAGTTTCCTAGCCAGATGTTGATCTTCTTGATTGTTGTTGACAAACACAAGGCTTGTGTTGACTTCCTCCTTAACATAAGGAATGTTGCAAACATTTCTGTTATCACTGTCCCAGTTCTTATCACAACTATCTCTCTCCTTCCCATGGAGTAGAGCATAGCAGGTGAACAGTGTCACTGTCTGTCACACTTTGAGCATTATTAGACTGAGTCTTTTATAGGAATATTCTGTTGATGTCATCCCAAAGTTGTAAATTAACGATAGACATCTTCCATCCTGGCTCCATCTCAGTTTCCTAGCCAGATGTTGATCTTCTTGATTGTTGTTGACAAACACTAGGCTTGTGTTGACTTCCTCCTTAACATAAGGAATGTTGCAAACATTTCTGTTATCACTGTCCCAGTTCTTATCACAGCTTACTTTTAATTACAGTCCAGCAAGTAGGTAGTCATTGCAGGTCTGGGTCTTTTACTGGTGTTTCAAAAATTATTAGCTCCTTCCATTCTTCCATTCATTCCCACACATTATATTAAATTCACATTTATCAAATCAGCACATTGAATTTCTTATCACTGGCATGTTCCTTAGTTCATGCATTTAATATGTGCTAATATGTTTGTGCGGCATCAAATTGTTGCCTGTATATATGAGCCTCTCTGGGTCTCCTACGGGGTGAGAAGGGTGGAGTATAAAGGTGGTAAAAAAACTACCTGTCCCCAGGTAGATTGGAGGAGGTCTTTCCCCCAAGATGCGTAGCTTTACCTGTATGCAGGGGATGCACTGGGATGACATATGGGTCTGTCAGTCCATTACACTGCTAAGTATTTATTTATTTACAACATTTCTACCCCACCCTTCTCAACCCCCAAGGGGGGACTCAGAGTGGCTAACAGTGGCAACAATTCAATGCCGCAAATATCACAATATAACAACAGTATAAAACCATATAAACACAATAGATAAAAACAATAACATTAATTATACAATCATAGCTGTTTCCATTATCATAACAATAATCATATGGTCCAGTTCAATGTCCAAAGTGCCGTTGTACCTGCTAGCCAAAAGCCTGGTTCCAAAACTACAAGGAAAGGAGGGAGGATGTTGATGTGATCTCTCTGGGGAGCGAATTCCACAAGCAGAGGGTCACCACCGAGAAGGCCCTGCCCCTCGTCCCCACCAGACGCGTTTGCGAAGCCAGTGGGACTGAGAGCAGGGCCTCCCCAGTGAATCTTAAACTACGAGGTAGAATGTAGAGGGAGATACGTTCGGACAAGTAAGTTGGGCCGGAGTTGTATAGGGCTTTTTAGGCCAATACCAGCTCTTTGAATTGTGCTCGGAAATAGACGGCAGCCAGTGGAGTTGACATAACAGGGGGTGGTGTGCTCCCTGTATGGTGCTTCCGTGAGCAATCTAGCTGCCTCCCATTGGACTAGTTGAAGTTTCTGAACAGTCTTCAAAGGCAGCCCCACGTAGAGTGCGTTGCAGTAATCTATTCAGGATGTAACTCTCTTCAGGTAGAAAAATGTTGTAGAATAGGCATTGGGCCAACTTCGGCCCTCCCTCCAGGTGTTTTGGACTTCAACTCCCACAATTCCTAACAGCCGGTAGGCTGGTAGGAATTGTGGGAGTTGAAGTCCAAAACACCTGGAGGGGGGGCCGAAGTTGGCCATGCCTGTTGTAGAAGCAGGTCCTTAGGTTTCCAAGATGCGGGGTGTTGTACTTTAATTTATGCATGATTTTAGTCCTCGTACTTTCTTGACCTTGTGGCTGTATCCCTGTATTGGTGCTCAAGGGGAGGGGGGAGCCAATTAGTTGTTAAAGAAAATCAATACTGTGTATTTTCGAAGACTTTCGTGGCTGGAATCACTGGGTGGTTGTGCGTTTTTGGGGCTGTCTGGCCATGTTCCAGAAGCATTCTCTCCTGACGTTTCGCCTGCATCTACGGCAGGCATCCTCAGAGGTTGTGAGGTCTATTGGAAAACTAGGAAAATGGGTTTTATATATTTGTGGAGTGGAAAGTGTCCATACAGCCCGGAAAACACACAACAAACCAGAAAACCGTACCGTGTCTTGGTTAGAGGGTCTACAATGCTTAATCTTGGTGTTGGGTTCAGCTTGAAGCAATTATTTCCTGCTAAGTGCTCACTTTTCTCTTTCTAATTTTTGCTTGGGACAGTTCAAGAGCAGTTTGTGGTCAACTGTGGAATCATTACCCATCAAAAGCTATTGATTTTAAATCTATTCTTGCATATTGCATATTATAACCGTAAAGCCTTTGTGTTTACATTTGTCTCTTACATATTAGA